CGTCAGCTTTGAAAGGTATCACTAAGACAAACGAGTGGCTACAGTAAAATAGGTATGGTAACTCTCTGCGAAATAGTAACCACTCAGCCCTAAACGAATGGGGCTCGTATCTAGTTGTCTGATAAATAAACCAGCCCAACAATAAGCAATAGTGAGCGAAAAGCCACAGTAAATGGACTAAACTATCAGAAGTCTTGATAGTTGAGAAACTAGTTTGTACATTCGTGCGTCGTCTTCAGTCTCACGCAGTCTGCTGGATACATCGTCAGACTGAAGAGAACGCACGAATGTGTCGAAACTAGTTTCGCTAATATTAAGACTCTTGAAAGCTGAAGTGGGTCCATGGCAAGCAGTCATGTATTGAACACATGGATAAACTGGGTGTAGTTATTGCATTACAACTTCCATCTTATTGAGTGGACCTATGAGAAACAAACATCTGAGAGGAATGTTGGACAACAACAAAGATAACACTATATTTGTAAGCCTAAGCCGAACTTCCTAGATCCCAGCTAAAGTAGCACTATAAACATTAATATTTAGCTGAATAAAAATGTGAATGTGATCAATGTGAGTTGGCCACGGAACCCAGAGGAACCTGTTGATTTTAATAGATTATCATAACATTCAAATGCAAGAACAGTTAGTACAGCTTTAAGAAACACCTTTAACATTCAGTATTTTGAGCTAGGACACCTAAATCATCACACAAGTTAAATGAGAGCTGTAACTCACGCCATCTGAGATATAACCAACCATTATTCGTCAAGTTATTTCCTATGACAAATTCAGGGATGAAAATAGCTAATATAGCATAAAACACACTAATATGCCATAAAATACATTAGCTGAAAGGAAGTTATGGCCCTTCTTTTCAAGCCCTTTTCTACATGAATGGTTCTCGCATTAGTTGAGACCAAAAAATTCAAAAACCACAAGTTGGATAGCATTAGGCAAGTTCCAGTTACTTACTGTTAAATATATTTATTTCATCTTAGGCCTGGCGGTTAAGGTGCTTCACTCTCGATCTATGGGTCACGGGTTCGAATCTCATCTCTGAATATGCTCGCCCTTTCAGCTGTGGGGAGCATAGTACCGTGACGGTTAATCCTACTATTCAATTAGAGTCCAATAGTTGGCGGCGGCTGATGTTGAGTACATGTATTTCCTCTTGTTTATCAATTCTAAATTATAGACGGCTAGCGTAGATAGCTCAAGTAGCTTTTCGCGAAATTCGAAAACGAAGCAAATTCTCTCATATTATTTATACACACGCTCCTATATATATAAATATATCTAAAGAGACACTTAACAATATACATCTAATATAATGACAACCGTTCGTATTCGACTACAAATAAAATTGTGTTTTAAGTTCAAGCTGAATCCAATGGGAATAGCTGATGAGTGTGGAACACAGCTGTTTTTGTCATTTTTTTACTTACTAATTTATTATTTTGATAATGTTTAGCCAATGAGTTTCTTGCTCGAACATATCTCAGTATTTCATAATTTTCTGTACAGAAATTATTTTTAGTGTATAGCTGTAAAGATAGATAGCTAGAGTAACTCATTATTCCTTGGTTATTTCCTGCACGTACTTCAAATATAACTTTAATTTAGTAAGTGTATTTTCACATTTACCATCTTTGGTCCGATGGCTAAAAGTCTTGATAAAGCTGTATTATACTTTCAGTTTGCCCCCTCCCCTGGTGGTTCATCGGTAAGTCTGAGGACTTTATAAGTACAAAAATCGGATTTCAAAATCCGCAGAATAAAGAGCATTACACGTAGCTCATTGTGTAGCTTTGCTCTTAACAACAAACAGACTCTTAGTTTTAATTGTTTATGCACTGACTAAGAGATATGAGTATAGTAAGTTAAGAGTTTGTACCGCCCACGGAGGCATTGCAGAAACATACTTTACCATGTGCCAACATAGTTACAGACCAACTTTCTAAGGAAGCCTGTAACTACAAATTAGTTAGCAGTTAGCTCAAGTATTATGATAGAGATGGTTTTACAACAGCGGTGAAAATATGTTATAAAGATTTTGTTTGAACGATTATGGTATAAATATTAACATTCTATTTTTACCTTTACTAGATACGACAGAATGGCATGTGTTACTAGTTTGTGTGTTGTCAGTAACTGGACTTCTGACCCATTAAGGTTACCTGTGACCAAATGATTTTTCTTTTTAAGTGACTGGTTTGCGATTACATAAACTTCAACTTTTATGCCCCTCACTTACACTCCTAAAAGAGAAATAAAGAGAATCATTCTATTTTTGTAAACTTGGCCATCCTGAAGGACATCTTAAGCATGAACCACAAGCTGGGCTTTGAAGAGGTTATAAAACTCCCCATTCATGACGAGTTCATAAACTTGAATATCAGCAACGTAGCCACATTCAACATCTATTTTATGTTCTATTACCGTGCATTATTTCGAGTTCCTTTTGCAAGTTATGTATTTTTATAGCTTTGTTCAACACTGTTTTTCATTTAGTTTCACCCGATGCTGGCTCGGCAGTAAGTCTGAAGACTTATAATGCTAAAAATCTGGTTTTGATACCCGCGGTGAGAAAATAACAGATAGCCCATTGTGTAGATTTGTGCTTAACAGCAAACAAACAAAAACATTTAATTTTATTGTATTTTCTGATTTATTTTCTTATTCTCCATTTGTATCCATCATTATCTATTTACATGTTGTTTGTTTTGATGTATGACTTGCATTTTTGTTTCGCTATAAACTTTATAGCATTCATATTGATTTAAACTATGTTTTTATGTTTGAATATTTTAATGTGTTTTCACTATGTATTGTGGTAATTAGACTGTACAGATATTTCATCGTATCTCGTTATGATGTCGAATATTTAGAAGTGATGTTTTGTTACTGTACTTTCAATAAAGTAAAAATGCTTTTTCATTACGTTTTAATTTACTTTAAGTTTTGTTTTGATGATGATTTGTACTTTTATTATATAATGTTCGTTCCATGTCCCTCCGAGTTGTTATTTTGAAACATTTTAGTTGTGTACATTTTGGTTTTAAGGTCATTTGGAATAAGCTGATGAGAAAGAACTAATTAATTCTTATTACTGCATTTTCTTTTCATTAACTTATAAAATATAAAATTTCACGTACGTTTATTAAGTTTAATTGTCTTTAGAAGTTCACTGTAAACTAGTGTCTTACGTATAATACATTGAACTTGCCTGGTTGTCAATATGTGTCTTCTCATCGGTCCGTTGGGTTTTCGATATTAGAATTACGGAATAGACAAGAGTTGTAATTGAGCTGGACTACGTGAAATGATACATGATTTGTTAGTGTTTTTTGTGTACAATTTGAGTCATGTAGACCAGTAATGTGCTGTCGATCATAATAGTGATGTCACCTAGTTTCACTAAAACATATATTACAATTTAAGTTGTTTGTGAATCACGCTGTCTAAATGTCCTCAAGGCTTGCAGCTTTCACCACTACCTACGTTAATTCAGTAATTTGCTCACCAATTTCATGAGTCTGTTATATCAGGAGTGGTTTACCTACGTGTCCTTGTTCTCCTAAACCAAGAATGCTACAGAACAGGCTAACAAAATATCTTATAACAGAAAATACTAAGATAATAATTGTTTTTAAGCATAGCTCTAATATTTCATATTTTACACATAACTGAAAGAAGTATAAAATGCCCACAGGTAGGCCATAGAACATGTAATACAAATACTTTAAAACAATGTCAGATTCACAATATGTGAAGATAACCTCAAGTAACGACTGATTGTTTTTTCAATATTGCCATATATCATCATAACATTTTAAAGTGAGCTAATTCAATAACTCTTAAGGTTCATTCTATGTTTTACCTAAATCTGAATTAAAGACAATTACAACTGTAACCGAAACTTATTGAAGAGCTTAGAAATTTCCAAGAAACTTAACTAGACTCTTTATTTTGATAAAGTTGACACGAGAAGTGAAATTACTCCAAGTAATGATCATAATTGCAGTGCTAAAAAAACGTTTCTCTGCGATGATATAACTTACAAACTATGAGATTTAAAGGTTTTGTATTTTTCACAGTACGTTAACACTACAATACTAAAATACACACTTTATCACTAACACAAACACACATATATATATTCGTTTCAAAGTTTGTACAACTGAAGAATCTAAATAATGACGGTGGATAATAAAAATTCCGGATATCAACGCATTAAAACATTACAGAGTGACAAGCCTACTACTTTATTTTTGCAAAACTTTCGAGTGCATACTTAAATTAACAAAATAATACTTGAAGTACATGGTACGTATGAAATGTAACTTAAAGAATATCTTTCATCAGTTACATGTAAAACAAACCAACCCCACTGATAATTTTATCTAATCAGATACCGATAACATTTAAAGTTAAAAATTTTAAACCTTCAACTTCATTTTTCAAAAATATCAAATAATCCACATGCACTTATAATGCTCTTCTGATTCACGATTCTGGGGATATCACGTCGCTTAGATAGTGTGAAAATAAGCAAAAATAGATAAAAACTCAAAAACATTGCATTTCTAGTTTCCCTTCCCTAAGTGTATCTCCGAACTGAAAAATTAAATGACAAGAAACGAAACTTTACCACAGCTTTTAATCAACATTGACCAACCTCTACACTTTAGAAGTGAAAAATTCGAAAACTTATAACGTGAATAAAAACTAAATTTTTGTTTCAAAAAATGTAGCCCTTTGGATAACTTCTGAGTCACGTAAAACAAGTGTTTCCCACATATTCTGCTGTCGTTTGACAAAGATAATATTTGATATCTAAGCTACTGTTTTTCTGTCCATATACATTTAAAAATAACAATTCTAAACTAATACGTATAGTATGCGTTGTTGATCCGTGATATGATATAAGGACATGTAATAATACTCGAAAAGCTTCTTTTTTTTGTTTACTGCTAACTAATCAAGATATCTGCACTTACCTTCTCTGTAATAGCTAAAGGATTATATTCGCGAATGACGTGGCCTTGTCAATTTGTTGTCGTTTGACCAAAGTCGAAGCAGGTGCAGACACTGTCTCAGCATTTGTCAACCTAATATTTTACTTTCGTGACTGATCGCTAGCTTATAAGTTCTGTCCCCAGACTCTTTTTGGTACCCGCCCTACTTGCTTTCACGGGATGTTCTCAAACTACTTGATACAAATTACAGTCACGGACATGCAGTGTCAAGTAATGGTTCTCCACCCCTGGTCTCCCAACCTCCACACGACCACGTGTTCACCATTCTGTGAAGTTCTCGCGCGCCTCTCGCGAACTGGCCGACGCACGTACACTATAAACACAAGTCAGGTACAAGAGGAAAACGGGGAAGCCCAAGGAATTCTTCACTTATTCCTGGGTTGGAGGTTATTTTACAGATACCCGCATCCGATTGGACGTTATTCGAATATTTTATTTTATGGTCTCAGCACAAAGAATACACTGTATCTCCTCGAGATAACTTATAGTTATATATATACAAATATCGCTACAAATAGTGTTATTCTCATCATTTGAGATTATAAATAATATCAAAATGAAATAGAATTTCACCAGATCCTCTTAAAAAAAAAAGGAGAAAAAGAAATGGAATGTTAACAAATAAGTTTTTAACATCAAATTGAGGACATCAAATAATTAGAGATAAGTCAAATAGATAAGCCTTGTAGGATAAGATAGGTTCGTGAACAATTTATAAATGGAGCGCAATTAAGAGATCCAAAGAGATACTCAAGCGAAGAGGACCCAGAAAATTATTTGAAGTTCACATCATTATTTTCTCAGAGATGAAACAAAGAGCACCCCATAGTAAACAATCGGGGAATAGTTCTAGGTCGTTCGAAAATTAATCTAGTTGCCTGGTTACTTATCCAGTGCACTGCACCATTTCGATTTTTGTTTGTTTGTAATTAAGCACAAAGCTACACAATGGGCTATCTGTGCTCTGCCCACCACGGATATCGAACCCGGTTTCTACCGTTGTAAGTCCACAGACATTCCGCTGTACAACTGTGGGGGGTGAAGCATTATTTCTTGAACTAAATGGGAATGTTCACCATTTTATTTATGTTTACCCTATCAACCAGAAGTTAGTGTCATAAATTCATTTTTTCTGGGTGTTTCAATGAGATACTACTGTACTACTAACCCTGATACTGACTTCTTGTCAGTGATCTTGCTAATCTTCCTTCATAAGTTAAATCGAAAAGGAATTAATTTAAATAGTGAGCGTTCTAATAAAGTAAATATATTTAGGTTTTTATCCTACCATTCACTCTAACTACGTTACAGTTTTAAAGATTCGTATGTATCCTAATAATGTATAGGGGTCGGCCGTGCACTTAGAAATTTCACTCTGGCCCACTCAAGTTCATTCTTCTTGGTGATTTAAAAATTATATTATAAATTCAGAAACAAAAAATCTTATGCTTTTTTTTTAAATTGCTAAGAAGAAGGTGGGAAAAACGTATTTGCTATCTTACTATTCGAGTAAATCCATATCACTGTACGGTGACCCACACAAAATCTCCACTGCCTCCTCCTTTAAAGGGAAAGGATCTGGAGCCAGGTCTGCGATGCCATGTAAAGCAACCTGAAATAAACTTTAAATCCATTATTGCAGAATAACACCAACTTTCGACACTTTCATGTGCCCACTTTAGTCCAACATTTCATTGTGAAAGAGAAACACATACATATATTGTAAATGTACAGGCTCTTATTTTCACAAGACGTGCTTAGCATTATTTTGTTTTAAAGGTCATATCCTCTTCAAATAAGTTATTTCCAAACTTGGTTGAAAATGAACGTGAATAATCGTAATATGCTTACAATGTCAGTGGAGGCAAGTAAGCCTTTTCGTTCAACACTGGCTTCAAATCAGTAGTCACGAGATTCTCGTGAATCATAAACTACTATTGATCTTTAGCTCTACTAACTGTTGTGATATTGTACATCTTAATTTAAGAAACAATAACAAATCATATCAGCAAATCTTATAAGGAAGTCACACCTGTTTGGCTCCCTTCCTGAAACTGTGTATGTATATGGCGTAGAATCCTTTCCATACGGTTGTAGCGTTCGGATAGCACTCGCTGTCTTGTGGCAACTAACCACTATGTATACGACAAGGATGATATTCATAAAACAAACTTTCTCTTAAGATCAATAGCATCAGTCACGATTATTGATAAACACAGCTAATCAGTGAAGGTTCAGTTTACAATCTCTTTGTACTAACATCCCGTTACAAGAACTATTTCATTGTAAACTGATGTTCTTTAAGTTGATGTCTTTCCCAGTTAAACAATCGATTATTTTATTTGTGTGTGTGTAATGGCTTTACGTATGATCAAGTTGATGAGATTAGTATTGGATCAAACTCACGCCTGCTGTGGTTAAACTGCTTTAGAGGAATCATGAAATTCAATAACTGAAGAAATGTCTCATTGGAGTTAAAACTATCTTACATTATTTTTGTATTGATATCTAGCTTCTTGCTGCTCTTAAAAATAAGTGTTTACAAAACAAGTAAAGAACCTAAAACATCTATGCTTGAGTTTACAAAAAATACGAACCGTTTATTGTAATAAACGACAGATATTAATAGTAAAACATAAATATTGCAAAACATAATTTTCTCTTTCTCCACGTATAAAGAAAGAAAGAAAAAAAACTGTCAGAACTTCAGAAGTTATCACACTATTCAGTTAAACTTCCCGTGCATTATTTATGTCATAATATATATATAAGCTTTATAAATTAAAAATGACCCTGCAGTCAGGTAAAAGATCGAAATGACGTCTTCGTTGATGTAAATTATGATGTGATTAGAACATATTCTATAATAATAATAATGCTATAGAATAGAGTATACCGTCTTTCATCCATTAAACGGGCAATGATATAAAACAACCAAGCTTGGTGCCAAGACACATAATTGCTACAACTCAAGAAATAGTTACAACAAGTCAATATAGAATGAACGTTTTTATCTTTTATATTTTAGTAATATGGAGTCCAACAGCTCACGGTTGGATAACTACTACGCTGCACAAAACAGTTAAAGTATTTTGTAGCATTACAGCTATGAAAGAGAAAAAAAATATTGTTGTAAAATAAGCCCCTTTATCTATTGTTGCACGAATCGGGTAGTTCATTATTTTTTGTCATCATATGATCTCACAAACAAATGGTTGTTATAAAATAAGTCCCCACCCCTTTATCTATTGTTGTACAAATCGGGTAGTTCATTATTTTTTGTTATCATATGATCTCACAAACAAATGGTTGTTATAAAATAAGTCCCCACCCCTTTATCTATTGTTGTACAAATCGGGTAGTTCATTATTTTTTGGCATCATATGATCTCACAAGCAAATGATTTTGAGGTAATTCAAATACTTTAAAATGCTCTAACCTTTTTTTATACCATACTAGACTTCAAGAGCATTTGAAAGTTTCATTCCATCGAACCGAAGTACGTTAACCATAGCAAAATATTGTGAATCTATTTCACGTGTTTGAAAGTATTGTTATCAGAATGTGGAACCGCTTCCAGTTCAGTGAATCAGTTGCTCGGGTTCCTGAACAAGGCAGTTATCATCCGCAACACATACAGATGACCATTAATAGTTCATTGCGGCAAGCCACAATCAGTTGTATGCGGCCATAATTGGGGAACTTATCGGTGTACAAACGATTAGAAATAAACTTCACAAGGCCAGTCTGTATATCAGACGACTAATGGAGTAATTTTTGTCACAGCGGGGCACAAAGCAGTTCGCCTAAAATGTTGCTAAGAGCACATTTAATGAATGAATAACATGAGGAGCAACATTCCTTTTATAGACAAGTTGCGTTTCACTCTACAGACAGAAAAACATATAGGCCTATTGGGAGAGAGTTTGGAAACATATCCAACCTCATTTACATGTAGAAATGCGAGGCATGTGACAATGATGGAAGTATAGAATGTGTAGGAATAAGCATGTCCATGTACTTCTACTTTATGTGGACATGTCACACATTATAGAGACAACATTTTACAACCAATTGTTGGTGAAATTGGCACTGACTTCAGCTTAATAGATGTTAACCCGCCCTCCTCCCCCAGTGGCACAGCGGTATGTCTGCAAACTTACAACGCTAGAATCTGGGTTTCGATACCCGTGGTGGGCAGAGCCCAGATAGCCCATTGCGTAGCTTTGTGCTTAATTACAAACAAACAAACACGATGTTAACCCACGCTCTTATATTTATGCACTGGTTGACATATTTGTTGAAGAAAAGGAAATGACTAAATTTCATCGAAGATCTATGAGATGTTTGCCCCCCCCCCAGTAGCACAGCGGTATGTCTGCGGACTTACAACGCTAGATTCAGATTCACTGAGATTCACAAATCCTCAATCCACCTAAAAAAAGGATATTTAAGATAATAAATCACAGTAAGCTGGCTGTTGCACTAAGATATAAATATCCACCATCCTATAGAAATGTAACAACATGGTAGACATCCTGTAGGATATAAGAAAAACAATTACGATAAGTATTTTTTTAAGATATAAGGAAAACTATATGGTAGATACCCTGCAGGATATGAGAAAATATCTATAGGGAAGACATTCTCTAGGATATGATAAAATATCTACAGGGAAGACATTCTCTAGGATATGATTTTTCCTATATATATTTTATCATATCCTAGAGAATGTCTTCCCTATAGATATTTTATCATATCCTAGAGAATGTCTTCCCTATAGATATTTTATCATATCCTAGAGAATGTCTTCCCTATAGATATTTTATCATATCCTAGAGAATGTCTTTTTTATATATATTTTCATATCCTAGAGAATGTCTTCCCTATATATATTTTATCATATCCTAGAGAATGTCTTCCCTATAGATATTTTATCATATCCTAGAGAATGTCCAACAGACAAGAAGATACCACACATATACGGTGTGAGTTGCATCACAGCTGGCAAACAGGCGGCAAAATACCACACTTGTACGGTGTGAATTTCAGCACAGCTGGCAAACAGACGGACAGACGAGTGGAAGATAGTAATGTATTGAAACCTTTAGAAAGATACCAAGTCTGATGTTTTTTTATTTTTTTCTAATATTTTCTTTCTCTAGGTTGTTAGAGGAGTAAGAAATTTTGAAGTCTGTGCTGATAATTCTATGCTGATAATTCTGTGCTGATAAGCAGTCAGACATAAATTATGGTCCAAATATAAGGTTCAGTCCTGTCACTTGATATATC